GTCTAAAAATCATCCAGATTCAAATTCTCTATAATTCCCATTTCATGTATACATATAGATATTCCAAATGCTCTGAACTACTGAAATTTTGGATCAATAAGTTTCATGAAATGAGTTAAGTACAAACCAACTTTAATTCTTTGATTAAAAATCAGCAAAGAATTTGAGCGTGTTTATTTGGAGCCAGAGGTAAACTGGGCACCTTGTAATCAAGTATATCATGGATTCAGATAGCAGCTTTAAAATAAATATTAACAAATCGTCACCTTAGTGCAATAACTGGTTAACTCTTATCAAATTTAGAACAACTTAACCTGTTATTGCACTAAGGTGACGAAATGACATAATTGTATAATGCTGTTAAGATATGCTGATTAATTTATTCTTTTCTGAACTACATGAAAATAATAAACTTTACAGATACAAATCAATTTAGAAGAGTATAACCTACTTTCATATGAAAATATTGACCAAATTTTACACTTTCTATCTATATTTTGTGGTAACTATGTATTTAGTCAATTTAGCAAAAAAGTCTGAAATAGGAGACTTGAAACCCACATTAGAGAAGATCATGTGACTTAAACTATGCTTAAACAACCTGTTGGTCACAAAATTACAAAAATTTAGATACTTTGCAAAACAGTTTGCTATAAATAATCATAAAGACAAGGTTAATAAAACTTTTCAATAATGATATCATTGACAAAAATAATTAAAATTTTATACTTGAGCAAAACTTAATAAACTGATATGGATTTTTACTTAAAATATGAAATAAAAAATGACGAATAAAAGATATATAGATTGATGTCTTTAAAGTAAATGAAATATATAAATAATATGGAATGTAAAAATTTTATAACAAAAGTTTTGAAACATCATCTTGATCATTAAATAAATATACAACTTCTTCTGTCAATAGTAAAAGGGTTGTTTTTTTTTAAATATCTTTGTAAACTACAATATGGAATTTTCAGTAGATAGACTTAAATTGAAATTTAACAGTTGAAGTCCAATTGTATTTGACTATAAAGACAATTTATTATCAATTATAACAGCATAGAAGAAGTTTGGGAATTTAGTTAAAAAATATTTATTGAAAGTTTGTTTGTTTGTTTTGTTTCTTGTTGTTTTAAAGTGACATTATGGTGTGAATGGTTGTGTATAGGGAAAGTAAAAGTATCTTCACTTTGGCCATAATCGTTTTCAGTTCTATACTCTACTTTGCACAAATAACCAATACAGATTTTGTATATGTTTCAGGCAGTTTTTTATATTTTATCCTAATCATTTGTCAATACCAATTATTAGTTTACTTTTGAAAGGACGCCACTGAGGTTATTTAACATGGTGGGACTGGAAATAACTCTTCGAGATCATATTCCATTTGATGTATGTCAAGACCAAAGTCTTGTGTGCAAAATTTCATTCGATCCTTCCATTTTTTTTCCAGAATAATTATTTAAATTGTGAAAAAATGACCAAAAATAGTAAAGCATTGTAAACTATTTTGGTCTTCACCTTTATAAGATATGCAATGCTATCATTAAAATTCAATGAGATCATGCCATAAAGTTTTTCTGCAATATCAATGCTGTAATGTTGTAACACTTTCATAATTGCGTAAACTTGTTTAAAATGATAAACCAAATATTGTAAATTTCTCATTATATAAGTGCTCTGCAATGTGAAATAAAAAGAGATTGTTTAAATGAAAAATAACACAGGAATTCTTGTAAATTAATTCCAAATGACACTTATGTAACATCAGATGTTTTGATTATACACTGTATTTTCATGTACATCTTATTAACCCAAAGTGAAAAATTAATGTAATAAATGTGACTTTTAAAAAGAATTCTGATTTTTATTTTCTGACCAGAAGATTTTTTTTTAATAATGTAGTATTCTTCAATATTGACTTTTGTTCCCAATTTTTCAGACTTTGTTGATGAAAGAAGTACATAATTATTCCAAGGATTAATGTTATGCAGTATTATCATCATCTTTATTGTCTAACCACAACCAAAGAATATACCAACATGTTGTACATAAATATATCATCTATGTTAATCATCAAAGTAAGTGAAATTCAAAAGGTGATTTTTTTTTTCAAGTACTCCACTAACGCTAATAATCTAAACAAAAACTGATATGTGGTCGCTTTCTTTCTTTCTTTCAAATCTAAATTTCAAAAACCTATTACCATTTTTTGAAATGAAACAAATTTCCTTGTACAATCTTGATTTGGAATGTTACGATTGGTCATTTAATTAATTAATATTCAAACAACCAATCAAAATTCAGCTTTTTAGACTGGTCTTTATAGTTTTAATATAGTCTGGAGTTCCTTCCCCTTATACTATGCTATAGTGGTAAATGTAGGCAGGGAACCAGACTAAGTTCTAATACTGTATTACCTGAAATTTTAAACCAGTCATTAGCTAAACACTTAAAATGCTACATTTGTATAATTGATGTGCCCATCCTTTAATTTACAAACAGTTCCATAATATTTTTCGAATTCTATACATGTATATCAAAACGCTAGAACTGAGAATTTAACTAAAAGTGTCTGCTAACGCTGTTTAGTAATGCAGATTGAGCTCTCTTTCTGATAAAGATATATGTAAGCTCTTATCACGTCTAGCATTCAAACAAATTAAGATTTACATGACTTATATAGGAAGCAAAATTGAAAAAAACATAAATTATGGAGTTACCTTTCCATATTTGGATCTTGTTAAATTAGAATTATAGATGATAAATTGGCATGAAAAAAAAAGTTTAACACAACAGTAAGATACTTTAGAAGAAGTAATACATCAGATTGAATGGAATTAAAATTATCAATAACGGTTGATTCTTTATCTAATAAGGTGTGGCTACAAAAATATGCTAATTTTGATTCATTTAATTCTATAAAGATGTGAAAAAAATTATAGCAAATGTGTGCATTATCTGTCCAGTAGCAAACAAACAATAAATATAGTACATGATGGTATATTCATATACAAGAGAACATAAATTTTATTGACAACAAAAACAATTTTACCAACAAGGTAAAGCTATTCAATTATGCAGGCATTAATTTTCATGGTCTAAATTTAACATGGCATTAATTTTTTCAAGGGAATGCTCAAACCATGAAAATTCAACACAGTAAATATTTATGATTTTACAGTAGTATAAAATATTTGGATTTCATTTATAAACATTATATTAACTCTCAACACCGGTAAAATTCAACATCTGTCACTGACAAAAATGGCACATTTTTTAAACTTGTGTGTTTTCAAATGTAAGATAAAACTGCTGATAAAATGTTGTCTAAAGATTCAAGGAATCTAACCAAATATAACTTCAGATACATATGAGACCTGTCAACATTGTAACAAAAACAGTTAAATTTCGGAATTCCTGTACAGAACTTTACCTACTTTGAGTTAAGATATTTCATTTCTTATTATTATTTTTTTTTTACTTTAAAGGAACTTGACTGAGGTATAAAAGCCTCAAAACATTAAATCTAAATTTCTTTCATAGATCTGCTGGGGTTCTTTAAACAGAAAGATATGCAAAAGATTAGTAATATTCTCAGAAATAAATTGAAAGTCATATTTTTTGCTATTCTTTGCCAATTTGAGTGAAAAGTGTTGCAACGCTCATCAATTTAGAGCCACTTTTTCGCAATTATAATAATCATACTGGAAAAACTAAGTGAGCCAATGATCTGAATTTTGCAAACATGTTATGGGTCTAGACCTACACCAAATGAAACATCAATCTCTAAGAATTATTTCCAGTCCTGTCTTGTAAAAAAACACTCTCGGTGGAGTCCCTTTTAAAAGGAGTTTTAACATCGTAAATCCCCAGCAGTGTAAAGGCCGGTCTTCTGCAGGAAAGAGACAATATCATCAGCTTTCATCATGTTAACATTTAATTTTTATTTATCTTTTTTTATTTTATTATCTTATATTCAGGAGACAAAAATAAGGTACTTTTTTGCATTTAACCAAAAAGAGAACAATTAAGCAATATGATCACAAATTAAGACCACAAAATTAAAAAGAACACACCTTTAATTATACATAAAGCTTACCCAACACTCGAGATTTACCATACAAGCCATTACTAATGTTACCAAGCAAAAAATGTGCCAAACTAATTCAAATTATTCAACAACAAACACAGGTCATTTACATTTACACACACACACACACAAAACAACTACAAGAACTATTCTATAATACTTTTTTGTAAGTCATATAGATATGTCTACTATCTATTTTGTTATAATATATTTTCAATATAAACCTTTACAAACATAACATTATTATCACATATTCATGTTTCATATATACCCATTAAAACATGTAAGTTATCAACTCCCAAATCTAACATATCATTTTGTAATAATTTTTTACAAGCTTATACTTAAACTAAGTATGAAAATTAACCCGTTCCATAATAATTTTGTATGATGAACTTTCAGTCTTGGAATAATCAATATATAGAATGTCAATCAATTTCACCCGAATTCTGCTAAAATTCAGTAATGGGTCTGACCTGCTCTTAAACATGGAAGAATCCATTCAAAGTTTAAGGGAGTTCAGTATCAAAATATCTAAATTGGGTTACCAACAGTATACAGCCTGGTCGGACTACAGGGATCTGCAGGCTGGCCTGGCTCTATACCAGTGGTAAAGGTTTAACACTTTTGCTTACAGTAGGTTAAGGGCTTGGGAATGTCCAGAGGTAGAATTTAAACTGTAAAATTCTGTTACATCAAATCTATATTTCTTATTCTTGAATCTAGGCAATAAAACCTTTTTCTTTAATTCTATTATGACTCTATGGAAAAACAAATCCCCAAACAAACCTTCCCATATCACAAGTAAAATATTTCCATTATTTTAAGACTGTAAATGCATGAATAGGATTTAAAGTCAACCATTATCTGGGAAAAGTATGCAATTTTTTTTCCATGCAACTAATTGTTACATTGAGGTAGATTAACAGTTTACTTACCAGTATATTATAATCTCTTAGGCACAGTTAAGGAGTAAAACTCTCAATAATTCTTTTAATATATAAAATCTGAATATAGGGAATTCTGCTATACATTGTAGTTCACTAAACACAAATTTTAACAAGAGATGCCAAATGTTGACAACTGAACTGCCCCATCCACTCCAACCCCCTCCCACTTCTGGATGTGCAAACATAATACTTTACCAGTAATAAGTTGAAAACATTGTAACCTTTGACCTCATGTCTATCTCAAATACATGATGTTCTCTGAATAATGAGCAGAGATGAGCAATGTACCGACCAAACAAACTGTCAGACAGATTGTTCAACATTCAACACTTATAAAACATTACACCTTTCATATTGATGATGGATGGGGGACAGCATTATTATATTACCAGTATTGTCTTTTCTAAAAAATGAAAATAAAACAATACCCGTTTTTAGATTCAAATATAGGCTTCAGTGATATAAAATTAGCTTATTTTGTAATAACTTTTTCAGACTTATATTTTTACACCTCTCACAACATATTTAATAACAAAATTTTAAGTGTAAAAAGCACTGAGCAAAAATGTATTATTAAATAAGTATAGAGCTTTTTTCAATAACATTAACATTCTACTTTTATAAAACAATCTATGTCCCCATATAGCTAGTAAAATAAAGTTTCACTTGAAATTTGTTCTATCTTTAATAATGTGGCTGTATCAACTCATCTGCGAATGTTTTTAAATTAAAAAAATTCACAATTTTTATGTTTAAATGTTGAATTCTTCATAAGCCGGTGCTAGGGGGCGTGGATGGTAGTTTGCACTTGACAGTACTATCCATGAACAGACTCAATTAAACCGTGCCTGCAACATTTTCAATTTTGCCATTCTGTACTTTCTTTAGGGATTCCAATATTCTCTTTTCTAATTTAACAAGATAACAATTTATATTAATCCTTTAACATGCTATATATCTTAAAATGAACTTGTCCATCTTTTAATATGGACAATACCATTTATTATTTCTAAGCAAAATTTCTAAAAAATTACTGGAAAGCAAATGATGCACCCCATTATCAGAGAGTAAAGATTTGCCGGCTGACCTACACTGGTCCCACGGGTAGAATCCGTTGCCTCAAGCAGACACAAGATTGATACAAATAAAGTTATAAAATTTTTATCTGAAGCAAAACAATAACTTCAACAATGAAATCTGTAACATCATCACTAATCGAAGGAAACTGTTGGAATGATTTAAGAATGGAATTCATACTTAATGAATAAAATTCACAAAAAAGCATACATGTACATAAAAAGACAATTATCACAAACAAAAAAAAAACCTCATCAGAAAAAGAAAATACTTGCAAAAATTCAAAATCTATACAAACATAACAATAATTCTAATATATATAAAAAAACATTATAAACATATTTTCTTCTATACATATTTTTCAACTTTTTTAACAAATACAGGGAATGCATTCCCTTTAATCAGGGAAACACTTTTCTTTTTTTCTAGGAAAACCTTTACATCTCCTTGTATGTAGAATTTTCCCAAAACAAACTCTAAAAAAATAAAAAAAACTTATATTAAGTGAATAATATGTTTGTAAATTACTATCAAAGATTTATATAAAATGTTAAAGCTATCATTTTAAACAAAAGAAACTGTTGGCTAACCAGGCTGATGTGTGAATATTCAAGACAAGTGATGGGAGTAAATTCTTTTGTATGCATGTTACTTGGAGGTAGATTTAGCAAAAATAAATCTTTTGCAATTCTCTAAAGTAAGTTCTTTTGGTCAGAGGTAGTTATAATAAAAATAATAAAATCCCCACCTGTTAACTCACATCGTCATAGCAAAAAAATCTCCTAATTACGGAGGTAGACATTAAAAACATCTAAAATATCAACAGATTTACAATATACAACCTAAGCTACCCATCCTTTCTTACATGAGTTATCTTATTTTAAAAGATACTCTTCATTTAGAGGTAGTTTTGGTCAATCTTAAATTTCACTCTTTTTTTGGGTAAAGATAAAAATCGCCACATCTTTGTTTCACAGAGGTGACTTTGGGTTTATCTAAGCTACTCTTTCTTGTAGAGGTAGGTCTAGACCCCCATGCAGTTTCTGCATCTTCACTATACAGTTGCCATCCAGATGTTTCTCAAGATTTTTCGTGGTCACGAACCCTTCGCCACAATACGTGCATGCATTTCGTGACTTCAGCATGTGAATCTGGGATTTCATGTGTCGGTTCAGGTCAGACTGTGTCACACCCTTATAGTTACACAGCTTGCAACAAAACTCTCGAATACCTGAAAATATGTCAGAAATACATCAAAATTAAGCTACTCAAAAATTGTGTGTGTGTTATACATTTATTAACATTAATTAACTCAAAAGTTTGCTTACTGAAAAATTATCAATCATTTATATGAAATTAGGCAAAGCCTAGTAACGGGGAAGTCCGTTTATTATTATTATTAATCTAAAAAGTTGTGATTGTTCAGTTATAGGAATATCCCACCTATTATCATTGAGTTACATTGAAAATGGCCCCTCTAGAACTGACACTGAAAATTTCATTGATAGGTTTATAATTCTATATATTCTTTGTTTTTTTTATTTGATTTCCTTTTAAATATACACATGTAGTCTATTGCCGGGCAAGCCAAAGCCCGGGACCACTTTGACTCCCCCCTATAATTATACATCATAGCCATAACTCCAGGTTAAACGATAAACACTAAAAGTTCATTCTCTTCGTAATAAAGAAAGGAAATCAACAATCGAAAAATTGAATGCTTAGAAATTTACCTTGGTATATTGTTAAAAAAAACCTTGAAAAATCCTGTGGCTTGTTTAATGATAAATCGTTCTGAAGTATTAATACATTTGGATAACAAATACAAAACAAAATGTAACCTCATTTAATCTGATTGATATTGAATATTCTAAGAATTGTAATTTAGATGAACATTGTTAAGATGATAAAGGTATTTTCAAGTTTTGACTGGTTGAGTAAGACCCCAGGCACATAATTAAGTCCTATACTGTAAATTCACTTAATTTTGTGGGCATGACGTTTTGTAGTTTTGACACAAAGAACATTTTTGTGGGTTCTTATATTTGTCTATTTTTCCAAAAGGTAAAATGTAAATTATGTGATGCAAAATAATCTTACAGCAGATGAATTATATTTTCGTTGGATCTTAAATTTGTGGGCAGACAACTCCATGAAAACCATGAAAATAAGTATCTATGGGTAACAATAAAGCAGTATTCCTAGTAAAACAATAGAGTAAAACTACCAAACTTTTGCGTGAAATCTGGACAGGTTTCTTGACATTAATGATTACATTGATTTAAAGTCAGACACGTTAATAAATTGCACTTAACAAGGTTGCCAAAATTTAAAGAACAGCCTCAAATATTTACAAAGAAAAAAAATCTAAGATTTTGTCTTTTAATCTGCATAAATGAAATGGCCTGTTTTCTGTTGCATATTTTAAAACTTTATTCCAATTTTTAGGATTAATATTTAATTGAAGAAATTGTTTGTTCAACATGCACCCTTAAAATACTTAAGACAATTTCAATTTTCTGCAACTTTCTTCTAATAAGACAAAATTCTTTGATGAAATAGTCGGTGTTAATTCATTTATAGCAAGTGACTAAGTAATTGCATTTTTCATTGCAGAAAATTCTCCCAGATTACAGGAATTATAAAAGACAACTGAATTATTGATCAGCACCATTCCATATGCGATTCAAAATCACCAGCACTTTATAAATGAGCTGTGTCATGACAAAACCAACATAATGGGTTTGTGACCAGCATGGATCCAGACCAGCCTGCGCATCCGCGCAGTCTGATCAGGATCCATGCTGTTCGCTTACAAACCCTATAACAAGTAGAGAAACTGATAGCGAACAGCATGGATCCTGATCAGACTGCACGGATGCGCAGGCTGGTCTGGATCCATGCTGGTCGCAAACCCATTATGTTGGTTTTGTCGTGACGCGGCTCAAATGCTCGCTAGTTAACATTGATCATTCAGTTTTTATTACCCTGGCAATTTTAATGGTTAGAATGGCTCCTGCAAATTTCTGTGATTTTATGAAGTTTATGATATTTTCTCTTCCTCCGAACCTACTGTATTTCAAATGCTAAAACCTTTCTAATGAGACATGAGAATATCTTTCTGAATCATCGAGATTAAATTCTTAGACTATCAATTTGCTGAAATTGTTTATATTATATATAACCATCTGACAATATTATGTTAATATTAAAGAAAACTAGTCAATTTGGTGCTGAAAATTGACATTTGCAGCATCTGACTTTTTATCTGCAACCTTATGAGGTGTAAGTATTTTTTGCAACCTTATGATGTGTCAGTATTTTTTGCAACCTTATGAGGTTTTAGTATTTTTTGCAACCTTATGAGGGATCAGTGTTTTTTGCAACCTTATGAGGCTTCAGTATTTTTGCAACCTTATGAGGTGTCAGTATATTTAGCAACTTAATGAGGTGTAAGTATTTTTTGCAACCTTATGAGGTTTCAGTGTTTTTTGCAACCTTATGAGGGATCAGTATTTTTTGCAACCATATGATGTGTAAGTATTTTTTGCAACCTTATGAGGAGTCAGTGTTTTTTGCAACCTTATGAGGTGTCAGTATATTTTGCAACTTAATGAGGTGTCAGTATTTTTTGCAACCTTATGAGGGATCAGTATTTTTTGCAACCTTATGAGGCTTCAGTATTTTTTGCAACCTTATGAGGCATCAGTATTTTTTGCAACCTTATGAGGTTTCAGTATTTTTGCAACCTAATGAGGTTTCAGTATTTTTTGCAACCTTATGAGGTTTCAGTGTTTTTTGCAACCTTATGAGGGATCAGTATTTTTTGCAACCTTATGAGGTTTCAGTATTTTTTACAACCTAATGAGGTTTCAGTATTTTTTGCAACCTTATGAGGTGTCAGTATTTTTTGACAACCTTATGAGGTTGACCATCTTTTTCTTCTGTTACTTTTTGGCAGTACAGATTTGGAATTTTGTATGGAAGTCAAAACACTACTATGTTTACATTTTCCTACCTTTATAACAAATAATTTCACATTCAGCGCTACTTTCTTCATGTAACAATCATGTGCTCTAAATCAATTCTTTATACATTGTTAATCTAATATTTGCTTTCTAAAAAAGTAAAAACTATTTTTTTTTTCTGCATAATGTACCTTTAATTGAAGTAAAAGCCATTTTCAAACTTTAGGAATATTGCAGAGACTAATATAGTAACTGGATATGCTGAATGCCCTGGCTCTATACTGACCAACTGTTCACAAAGATATAAGGGCCAGGATCAAGATCAGGATCAAAATTTTTTCTTTTTGTTTTCAGAGATTGAATAATTCAATATTAACTTAAGTGGACTTAGAATTGACATTTGTAAATGAAGATTTAGAAAAAGTCATAATTACTTTACAAGATATGATTCTTTTAATGAAACCTTATTTTTGTTCAGTTATTATTGAAATTTTTATAACTTTTTTCCAAGTTTTTTTCTGAAAATAAGTTTATTTCTTTGCAAGTTAGCAATTTTTTAATATCTTGCACCACATTATATAAAATAATATTATTTAAGCCTGTAAGTTTCATAAAGCAATAAAAATAGAATTAGTATCAGTGATAGATTTCTACTCTGAAAACTAATTTGAATAACAATGGATTTAACCACAAACATTGACATGTGCTCTTTTGTTAAAAAAATATGTTGTGGTGAAATTCTTTTTGTATCAACTAATCAGATAGTTAGTGGACAGGCCAGGGATCTATGTACTATATGATCCTGATCTTTTCCTTGTGAACATGGGGGCATAGCTACCTAAAGCTGTGTTGTTATCACTGATATTACTTCAATAAAGTTTGTTACTTCATATTGTCACGACAAAATAACTGTACGTACCTTGATGCCGCATCATATGAACTTTTAGCTGACTGTTTGTCCGTGCATAATAATCGCAGTAGTGACACTTGTACGGTCTTATGTCTGTAATATAAAATGTTATGTTACATTATTACTGGCACATGAAAATCTCATTTAAATCATAAACCTAACTGACATTAAAGAATATCATTTCTGAACTTAGTTTGCCATGACTAGAGGTATTTCTAGAGAACCGCCGCTTTCTTGGAAATACAATTCTGCATAATGGTATTTTCCAAGAAGATAACATGATATCATAATTTATGAGTAAACAGTCTGAAAAATTCAACAAGTATGGGAATGAGATAAAGATTATGTGAATGAATACATGTTTCCAGAATAAAACCTTTTTTTTTTTCATTAACAGATACTTTGGGATTGACTTTAATTTTTGTAATTTTATATTCTGTGATATAATGTAAGCTCTTTTACTGGTCGCAACTGGTATTTAAGTTTTTTACAGACAAAGGCATCGTCGGATACCCACGATTGATAAACATGTTACATAACATGCAATCAACCGTGGGTAAAATGAGTCGATTTGCGTCGATATACAGCAACAGGTGCGTAAAATATCTACCAATGACGTTGCGTTTAACAAATCTATATTCTTCAACAGCGGAGGTAAAACACAATAAAAAACAAAATGGCAGCGCCCACGGTTAAAAAGTGTTGTACGTGTCTTGCTAAAATCAATGGCAAAAACTATCGCCAAAGTTAGTTCTTCTGCAAGCAGATATCAATCAGAAAGGAAAACATCACGCTGTAAAAGTAAATTATCTATACTTTCTTGCTGGAAATCGTTTAATTTTTCGATGTTGAACTTTTCACGTCGTCTATGGTGTCTGTAATACCGAACGTCGTACAGAACGAGCGTTTTGATTGGTTTTAATCGTCTCATGAAATCGTGAGGCAGCCAATGAAATAGCTGCCTTTGACACACCTCTAATCGACTGAATATCGGCTAAAAATCCCACGGCTGATAAATGTTAATGGTTCGGCCGTGGGTATCCGACGATGAGACAAAGGATGACCTATCAAGAGTATCTGTACTAAGTATGGTACCGGTATTAACTTGTATTAGTCTGGTTTACAATAAGTTACTCCAATATTAATCATCATAAATCTGTTGACGTCAAATGACATAAGAATGTATGCAGTCTTTGCTAAATGAGAGTCCACTGTCGAGTATGAACCCCTGACATGGCACATGTTATGCCCATAAAGAGTTAATTTTGATGAACAAAGGTGTGATAATTTACCTCCATGCTATTTCAATGGAGAATAAGCCAAAGATATGAATTTTGAGCAAAATGTAAGCCACTGTACGCTTCTACAGTGAGAACTGAAATTTATCACATAAACCGCGGCGCAGGAGTGTAATAAAGCCATTTAATAAAAGCGATATTTCACTAGTGTAATAACACTTTGACGTGACGTCATTTGCCCTTTATAGAAACATAGCGTTAAAGCGCGCTAATGTTAGTGTTACACTATGAGCGTGTCATTTAAAAATGACTCATTTTAACAGTTTACCGTTCTTATTTTATATATTATGTGATAAATAGAATATTATATTCGTGTAGATTCAATACTAAATTTATTGAACTCGTTGAATAAATCAATATTATGCTCGCCAGAGGCTCGCATAATATGATTTTATTCGACTCGTTCAATAAATTTAGTATTAAATTACACTCATTCAATATCCTCTATGTGCAGTAACCCAAGGCAGTATGAACAGGAAATGACATTTGATACATTTTGCTTTAAACTACTATACCTTAAATTGAGGTGTCTAGCTCCCAGTTTTGGTACTATTCATTGTCAATTTTGGGGAAAGTAAATATGAAAATTTAAAGTTGTGGTCAGCCAACACTATAATGTATGGTGCGACTAAGTAACTTATGGTAAAGGCTAATTACTAAAATAAATGTTCCACAAATTGTTAAAAAAAATAGTAGATTGATGTGTAAAATTTTTCTTTTCTTTACATTTATCATATTTCCATACTAAAGCTAGTCTAGCCAGTGATTCTTAAATTCTATAAAATGCTATTTTTCAAAAAAAAAAAGTTCATACTACATTTTAAAACACAACAGCACAGGGATAAATTAAATTCTCTTATTCTTAGACAGTATGTCTACAATCACATTATAGTTGAGAACAAAAATGCAAATCATCTCAACATTCTACAGTCATACAAAATAATTTTCCTGCTATGTCATCCTTCAATTATCATTTTCATCATAGTTTAAAAATCACTCAACATATGGTGGTGGCGATAAGTTGGGGGGGGGGGGGGGGGAGAGTAGAATGGGCAATTAGGGGCTTTTGCAGTTTTTGTGATGGGATATTCGGGTTTTTGTAATCCATGCTATGGAATATAAGGGCTTTTACAGTCTGTTGTGCAATGGGATATTAAGATTTTTTGGTCAATGCTATAGGAAATAGGATTTTTGTAGTCTGTTCTATAATATATGGGATTTTAGGGTTTTTTGCAGTCTGTGCTATGTGATAAAAGGGTTTTTGCAGTCTGTGCTAAGTGATAAAAGGGTTTTTGCTGCCTGTGCTATGGGATAAAAGGGTTTTTGCTGTCTATGCTATGTGATATAAGGGGTTAAGTGGTCTATGCTTTCTGATAAAAGGGTTTTTGCTGTCTGTGCTATGTGATATTAGGGGTTTAGTGGTCTATGCTTTGTGATATTAGGGGTTTAGTGGTCTATGCTTTGTGATAAAAGGGTTTTTGCTGTCTATGCTATGTGATATTAGGGGTTTAGTGGTCTATGCTTTGTGATAAAAGGGTTTTTGCTGTCTATGCTTTGTGATATTAGGGGTTTAGTGGTCTATGCTTTCTGATAAAGGGTTTTTGCTGTCTATGCTATGTGATATTAGGGGTTAAGTGGTCTATGCTTTGTGATAAAAGGGTTTTTGCTGTCTATGCTATGTGATATTAGGGGTTTAGTGGTCTATGCTTTGTGATAAAAGGGGTTTTGCTGTCTATACTATGACTTGTGATATTAGGAGTTTAGTGGTCTATGCTTTCTGATAAAAGGGTTTTTGCTGTCTATGCTATGTGATATTAGGGGTTTAGTGGTCTATGCTTTGTGATAAAAGGGTTTTTGCTGTCTATGCTATGTGATATTAGGGGTTTAGTGGTCTATGCTTTGTGATAAAAGGGTTTTTGCTGTCTATGCTATGTGATATTAGGGGTTAAGTGGTCTATGCTTTCTGATAAAAGGGTTTTTGCTGTCTATGCTATGTGATATTAGGGGTTAAGTGGTCTATGCTTTGTGATAAAAGGGTTTTTGCTGTCTATGCTATGTGATATTAGGGGTTTAGTGGTCTATGCTTTGTGATAAAAGGGTTTTTGCTGTCTATGCTATGTGATATTAGGGGTTAAGTGGTCTATGCTTTCTGATAAAAGGGTTTTTGCTGTCTATGCTATGTGATATTAGGGGTTTAGTGGTCTATGCTTTGTGATAAAAGGGTTTTTGCTGTCTATGCTATGTGATATTAGGGGTTTAGTGGTCTATGCTTTGTTATAAACAGATTTTTGCTGTCTGTGCTATGTGATTTAAGGAATTTTTGCTATGGGATATTGGGGGTTAACATCAAATCTAAAGAGAAATTCAGGAAATGTAACCAGAACATATGAAGAGATTGAGACATGGCTATTTTGTTTAACAAACACACAATTTTCAATTAAAAATGCATGTTTTAGATCATATACAATTCATTGATTTTATGGTCAAATTATTAAATTAACTGTCAATACTCAGGCACTTCATTCTTAATTATAGCTTTAATTAAATCTTTACAGAAATCATTTTAATTGAGTGCGGTAAAGCTAACATATTTTACAAGAAATGAAATTACAGGAAAGCACATTTCTTGAGGGAAATAAGGCAGAAGTTCTCAAGTAGAAGATGCACTATTGTGTATTAATTAATTACAAAAAAAAACAACAATTCACAGAAATCTTGCCACAAGATAATTTCTTGGGGATTAAATCTTTATCAGGTATCAGGGTTATTTTGTTAAGTTTTAGAATGCAGGTAATTAAATAGCATTTTCTGTGACGAAAATCGGTTGAAGATATAAAGTGTTATCATTTTTATAGCAAATTAAAAAGAAAGTAATTTGTGAAAATGTACTGGAAGTAAATTAATGTAATTGCATATTTACTTCATCAAACATGTTTAAGAATTGCCATTTATATAGAGAACTTTTTATGTTGAGGTCATTACGTAAATAGTCAATACATATTTTCAATAAACTTGTTTATGGTAAAGCAAAGAAGTATTTTATTTGAGGATAACAAACAAGTTAGCAACAAACAGCCAGCACATGCTGTTTCCGTTTTTTTCTTGCTTGGCTTTGAAGTACCTAACACTTACAATGTAGAAATTGTGCTGCTACTTTATCTGTTTTTCCTGGCCGAACAAGACATATATTTCACTAAGGCAAATACATACAGCAAGGTGCAAACAACAACTTTTGCTATAATGGTTAGCTTTTCTTAACATCAAGCAAATTTAATACCCCTGGCAGTATAATGAACCAACAACAAAGGGTGGCCAGTGATTCAAAAGTTGGACACATCTTAACCAAAGACTCACAATGGTGTCTAAAATAGTTCCTGTTTGACCCAGCATTAACATTCTTACTCATGAAATACATAAAACTTCCTATTTCCCACCACAGTCTCAGATCACAATTTTTAAATCATTTAAATATTAAGTTTTCATTTTCCTGAACAAATGCAAGCTTTATAGAGATTTTAATATTGGCTACAAAATGTATATGTGTTACTGTATAATATGAGCCACGTAAGCCGACATGTCAATATAATTCAATTTTTAAAACCAATCTGTTTTATTTAAAAGATCATCCACTGTTGGGATATGATATTAGATTCAAACTAAAGGGGTTTATATATATCTGAATGCTGCGAAATAATTCAATACTTGCAATATATAAAATTATTTTTTTGGTATACTATATTTTTTCCCCTCCAGGGTGTCCTTAATGTTTTTTAAATCTTTGTGTGATTTTTGGAAAAATTGGTTAAGGCATTTTGTTTGTTTTGTAGAAGAAAAAACTTCTGTAAAAATAATTTTATATTTTTTAAATCCCTGTCTATTTATTTTGAAGGGGTCTTTATTTTTTATAAGTCAGGACTAGTATAGACAAGAGTTCTTTTAATTTTTCCCTTATTGTTCAATTTGGGAAGAAAATAATCTGAAATACGCATCAGTAACCAACCATAGATCCCTGGCCCAGCTTACTTAAAAAAAGGTCAACTTTTTAATCTTCAAATTTTGCCACAGTAGTTCACCAGATTATACTTTAAGGGTCAAAATCAATCCTTATTTGATGATGAACACATTAAGGGACATAACTTTGCTCAAAATATTAGAATTAGACATTGCCCATAAATGTTAAACAATACTTAGAAGCC